ACCTTTTAAATTTCAAGTTTTGGTACTTACCTTGATGAAATCATATATTCACACAAACATTTCTACCAGATATTTTACAAGAATTTTAAAGTGCCTATTCACTACAAAGTGTTAATTACCTCTTTGCTTCTGCTCCGGCTCCTGTGTTTTCTTCCTTCATTATCTGTAAACACATACAAAAGTTCACCATAAACAAAGATACAGAAATATCTCAAAAGCAAATTCTAATAGTTAGGTAAAAGACAATTTCCAGTCCTTCTTCCCCAGCCTTTTTAAAGTAGGCTTCATGCCTTGCGTGGAGCCCAACGTGGGGCTTAAACTCACCAACCTGAGATCAAGAGTCAGACCCTTAACAGACTCTAGCCCATTTTGCTTAATTAAAATTCTACTTACTAACTTTCAAAGACTATTTTTTTATGGCAAGGTGGGATTATTCTAGTTAAAACTGTATGTATTTGAAACAAATCAAGCCATCTGTACAAACCAGATATAACCGAGAGTAAGCAAAAAAAAGAAAACAAAACCACACAAAAAAAACCCTCCATGACAAGTCAAAAACAGGTATTGTCTTTCAGTTTGTCACAGACTCTTAATTTACAAAACATTCTGACTACCCCATCTTGTTTTCCAGTCCACAGAAAATTTATAAAAGGGCTTAACAGAGGTACACAAGAAAAACAAAACAAGAATGCAAAAAAAGAAACAGGTTGAACTATATCTGGCTTAAGTGGTGAGAAGGGTGCTATAGTTTAGAATAATTTCCATTCAAAACTGATTTTAATACTGTACAGTTTCAAATATATACGTAAAAATATATATCTGAACTATCTCATAGGTAATTATCTGTGGGCACAGAGGATAAATAACTAGAGCTCAGGTCTTAAAATTCTCTTAACTCATTACCATTCTACTTTTCACTTAACCTCATTATATAGCAGTACTAGTTAAAAAAATACAGGGGCGCCTGGGTGGCGCAGTCGGTTAAGCGTCCAACTTCAGCCAGGTCACGATCTCGCGGTCCGTGAGTTCGAGCCCCGCGTCAGGCTCTGGGCTGATGGCTCGGAGCCTGGAGCCTGTTTCCAATTCTGTGTCTCCCTCTCTCTCTGCCCCTCCCCCGTTCCTGCTCTCTCTGTCCCAAAAATAAATTAAAAAAAAAAAAAAAAAAAAAAAAAAAAAAAA